TTAACGTCTGTTCACCCTCATGCTGTGTGGATCTCCCTGTGTTTCTCAGTGAGTTTTTAGTTACCAGTTTAGATTAGTTTGTATGTTTTTTCCCTGCCAGCAAATAAAGCTATGTTTTGAGTTCACCTCCCCGAGTCTGTGAGTGCCTGCATTTTGGGTCCAACTCCTGCCTGCCGCACAGCGATTCATGACAGTTCGGTTGTAAGCCCCCTATTGTTTTCTTTATATATCCTTCCTTCAGGTCATATCCTATATCCTATATTAGCAGCTTCAAAATTATTTCCTACCATCTGTATGCAGATGATATCCAATTATACATCTCATTTAAACCCTGGGAATTCGACAAATTATCCACTCTAATGACTGTCTTAAAGAGGTTAATGGTTGGATGACAAACAATTTCTTGCAGATGAATGCAGACAAGACTGAGTGTTTGATTTTTTATTTATTTATTTATTTTTGCCTGTCCCATTTTGTTCTTTAGCCATCAGAATTGTTGTCTGAAGACCAACATGGATACCCAGTGGATTTACTTTGCCAAACGGATCACCACGGCTCATCATCCAGGGTCCAGACACCCAGAGGCCCCAGAGTGCGAGAGCCCAAGGAGGACCACCGGAGGGGCATCCGTGCCACCCTCCTGGAAAGAGCTGAGGAGAGCCCCAGATGAGAGGTCACCCAGTAGCCACGGAGAAGAAGCCAGAGGGGGCTGCAGTGGCGTGCACGCCGGCTCTGCCAGCAGCCAGCTGTGCCAGCAGCCAGCTGTGCCAGAGTAAACTGAGCCGCAGGCCCGGAGGCCCGAGGGCCCCTTTTGCCCCGGAAGAGGCCTGACCGAACAACAGGCACGAGGCCCCGCCAAGAGTGTTTAATTTTTGCCCCAGAGAGCATCAAGTCCCAAATTAGTCCACGTCTGGGTCCTTCCTCATCCTCAATAAAAGCTACCGCTCGGAATCTTGGGATCATTTTTGATCAATCTCTGTCTTTTGACGCTCATATCAAGTCCTTGACCCGCTCCTGTTTTTTTCATCTAAGAAACATTGCCAAACTCAAGACTATTGTATCCAAAGGCGAATAGGAGATGCTTGTCCATGCTTTCATCTCCTCTCATTTAGATTACTGTAACGCACTCTTTTCTTGTCTGTCTAAGGCTTCCCTCAATCGCCTCCAAGTGGTCCAAAATGCCACAGCAAGGCTTTTATCCCACAGTTATAAATTCGCCCATATCACCCCTGTGTTAAAATACTTGCACTCGCTTCCGGTTGAGTATAGATATCAGTTTAAAATCCTCACTTTTACATTCATGTCCCTACAAGGTGAGGCTCCCAATTATATCAGAGCTTCTCCAACCCTACTCTCCAAACCGGATCCTTAGATGAACTGATAGTTGTCTTCTAACCATTCCACGGACCCGTTTGAAAACGAAGGGGGATCGCGCTTTTCAAGCCTTGACTCCAATATTATGGAACAGTTTACCTCGCCGACTACGCACCATCAACTCTGTAGCTACTTTTAAAAAACAGCTCAAAACACAT